AAAAAAAAAAAAAAGTAATAGATTTAATCAAAACGGTTTGCCAGTCACATAGCAACAAATAAAAGTCATGCATTCATACCTGATCTTAGGTGTGGGGGCACTCTGTATGATGCAAGTGAACTGAGCATCCTCATCAGCAACAAAGACAGCATTCCTTATTTTATTCACAAAACGAGGAGGAACTGCGAGAAACAGTTAATTATAATATTTAGTATAAATCTAATCACCTGTCATTCTAGGGCTCTACTGTATGTCACGTACCTTGAACTGTGATCTTTCCAAGAGTGCTGGCATTGCCCGCTGAGCTTGTGGCGAAGCACATGTACTGGCCAGAATCATCTCCTGTCATGTTGTCCAGGATCAGCGTGCAGGAACCGTCAGGGTCCTCAATGATGATGTGATGAGGATCTGCCTGCACTGCACGCCCATCTGAATCCAAAAAGTAAACGTGTGTTTCATCAGTGCACTGGTGGAACACATTTGGCCTCAGATACTGTTTGTATACAGAATTTAGCCTTACACTCAGTGGTTCAGGGTATGCACCATTACTCCCTATCAGTCTATACACCATCCAGCAGAGAAAATAACTAAAAACGTGGTGCTTATGGCATACATACCCTTGTACCAGGTGACCACAGGTTTGGGTACTCCAGTGGCTTTGCAGGCTAGCTTAACAGTCTGTCCCAGTTCTGCTGTGCAGTTTGCCAGAATTTCATCAAAATCAGGGGGACCTGTAAAAGCAGAAACCATGAAAGGCTTACAATGTTTAAAAGCAAGAGAATATGAGAAAATATTGAAATACATTCTCAGTGATATGAGAGAGACTGAGGCAGAGAAAACCTAGGTAGTGTACATGTCATACTCACTCCATGCTGGCATGCTGTATCGCTGCTGCAGTTCTCTGAAATCTCTCAACCATGAGTTCTTGATTGTAACAGTTCGGGCCTGCAAGGTGTATTTCCTCATAGAGTCCTCACGTTCGTGCCAGATCTCAAAGGCACGGTCATCACCCTCTACCGTCTCGTTCACATCGATATTATTCAACTACAAAAAGAGATGAAGAACACATTTAAGCTTTTGTTCAGGAAAGGTACCTCACAGTAGCAGTAAATAAAAAGTCCTGAAAAGAAAAAA